ACGGGCCTCAGTGCCAACACCACAACCCCTGCGAGCCTGTCAACCCGTGCAACCATATTGGTAAGTGGGTAGTTTGTTGTCCTGGCAGCGTAGAGTGATGTCAGTGTGGATTGATGGCAGTGAGGAGTGTTGGAAGCTTGAAGCGTTGTTTGCGCAGTGACATCAGTGTGGAGTGTTGGAAGCTTGCAATGTTGTCTGCATAGAGTGGCAGTGTGGAGTGTGGGCGTGGTGTTGGAAGCTTGAAGCGTTGTTTGCGCAGAGTGACATCAGTGTGGAGTGTTGGCAGCGGGAGTGTTGGAAGCTTGCAATGTTGTCTGCATAGGGTGACGTCAATGTGGAGTGATCTCAGTGTGGAGTGTTGGCAGCGTGGTGTTGGAAGCTTGTAGCGTTGTTTGCGTGAGTGACATCAGTGTAGAGTGATGTCAGTGGAGTGTTGGCTGCGTGGAGTGATGTCAGGGTATAGTATTGGAAGCTTGTAGTGTTGTCTGCGTAGAGTGACGTCATTGTGGCTTGTTGTCAGTGTGGAGTGTTGGAAGCGTTGAGTGTTGTCTGCGAGGAGTGGTGGAAGAGTTATGTCATGGAGTATAGGAAACGTGTAGTGTTGGAAGTAGTGGTGGAAAAGATTGAATTTGTTTCTGGGTGTTGAGTTTTTTTAAATCTTTAAAGATTTGTATTTCTTATAAATGAATGACCAACATTTTTCGTTTATCTTTTGTATGTGTGTGTGTGTGTGTGTGTGTGCGTGTGTTGTGTGTGTTGTGTGTGTGTGTGTGTGTGTGTGTGTGTGTGTGTGTGTGTGTGTGTGTGTGTGTGTGTGTGCGTGTGTGTGTGTATATGTATATGCGTGACTGTAAGTTTACACGCGTCTGTCTGTATGTGTGTACGTGTATAGTGTGTATGTGTGCGTACGTGCGTGGTGTGTTCATATGCTTGACCGTAATTACACGCGTTGTCTGCGCGCGCGTATACCCAACCTAACCCCCCCCCTCTCCCCTCTCCACCCGCAGGTAAATGCCTGAACCACAGCGACGGTTCCTACACCTGCGACTGCCTCCACGGGTTCTACGGCCAGAACTGCTCGCGGATCGACCCCTGCGCCGCCGTGTCCTCGAACCCCTGCCACAACGGGGGTTCTTGCGTCAGGTGGGTGGCGGGGTTTGAATCTCTTGGGGGCGGTGGGCGGTTGGGGGTTGGCGGAAGGAGGGGGGGGGTTCGTTCGTGGGTCAAAGGGAAAATGGGAAAAGGAAAAGAAATGAAAAAAGAAAATGAGGGGGAATGAGAAAAGGAAAAAGGAAAGGGGAGGGAAATGAGAAAAGAAAATGGTTTCCTTGCCTGAATTAGGTTTAGTTTTAGAGGGTTTCATGGAAGGTTTAAAAAAAGAAAGGAAATAATGAAGAAAAAGAGGTTATAGTTTGGGAGGTTTAATTCATGGAAGGCATGAAAAAGAAAGAAAGAAAGAGAGAAAAAAAATGAGGTTTCCTATTTTCAGGGCTCATTTCGTAGATTTCATGATGGAAAAAGTAGAAAGAAGCTTCTTTATTCAGGGGTTCGCGGAGAAAGAGAAAAAGAAAAAACGAAAAAAAACGAGGTTTCTCATCTTTTTTATTGTGTTAAATGGGTATTAAAAGAAAGAAAGAAGAAGGAAGAATGAAGGAAAAGTAAGGGAGAAAAAAAGAAAGAAAGGGAGAAAGAAAAATGAAAGAGGTGAATGAGGAAGAGGTATTTTGATGATGTTTCTTTCTTTCTTTCATCTAAAACAAAGTGTTTATGGAATAATTTTCATCTTATTTGTAGAAGAAAGTGGTAGTTAAAAGCAGAATAAATTTAGTCATTTGAATTTAATTAGATTTTTCATAAGAACAGAAAGAATTAATTGCATTCCTAAATAACTGAAAATTTGTGAATAACTAATACAATGAAGCAGAAAAATAGTACTTAAAATCTGCAAAATTTTGTTAATTATAAAAGAATGATTTTCAGTAATTCATAAAAAAAAAATTCATCAAAATTTAAATAATTCCAGGGTTTGAAATTCGTAAAATAAATATTTGTTTAATTACATAAGTTAAATGTCAGTATTTTATATAATTTTCTATCAATTGCAAAAGTTAAATTTCATTACTTTATATCACTATAAATAACATAAAACATAAAAAAACTTAAAGTGTATCATATTTGAAGTCCATCTTTAATTAAAATTTTACACTCCTGTACATGTAAATTTTAAATTTTTTTTTCTGTACAGTGTGTTGAGATCAATGCAAATATTTGTCTCATGTTACCAATATATTGTCCTGTTTTAAATGCAAATTAATTTCTAATTTCATGTTGTGGCAAAGAGTCATTGAGCCAACTCATTTGGAATTTTTAGATTTAGTCATTGAATTATAGAAATTAAGTGCAAAATATCAGATTAGTTTGAATAGCGAGTTCCACTGTAAAAAAAAAAAAAAAAAAAAAAAAAAAAAAATAAATAAAAAAAGTATATATGCTCCAATCATTTATCATTTACATTTTGTAGTTGGCACAATGAATCACGTGCATAGAACATAGAACATTAATTAACCAGCCCCTTACCACCAAGGAGAACAATATCATATACTGTGTATATATACCCGGTATATAATATCCATATAATACCCCACCATCTCCTTAATAAACACCAGTATATACCGGTATAGAGTCCAGAACTTTCCCAACATTTAATAAAAAAAAACATTAACAGACATATTTTCCTCATGTTTTACAAATCTGCACAGGTCGTCTACGAATCCTCAATCCCACGTGCGGTAAGGGTTATTATCCAATCTGTAAATATGGTACTTTGTTCCTTAATGTCTGCACCTGCCTTGCTGCTCGCCAACCACACCTTTTTAATTAATGTTGCCAGATGTAGGTTGTGTTGTTTTAGCGTTATTGTTGTTGTTTTTGTCCTTGCTGTTATTATCATCATTATTATAATTTGCTTTTTATCATTAGTAGCATTGTCATTTGTACGGTTGTTGTTGTTATTATTATTATTTTTTATTATTATCATCATTATCATTATATCGAATGTTACCATCATTTATTAACATTCTTATTTCATTGAATTTATCTTTATTCTTTATATCATCATCTCCATCGTCATTATGGATAATACTATTATTTTTTATAATTCTTATCATTATTTTTTTCATCATTACCTCGATATTTTTTATTATTATTTCATTATCGTTATTTTATCATTATCATGATTGTTGATTTATTACCATATTTATTATTATATTTATTATTCATTATTATTATATCATATTATTATTAATAGTAGCGTTATCACAAGTTATTTCTTAATTTACAAGCTAAGATTTCGTAATAAATTTTCGTTGAATATAGATATAGATTTGATGAGATTTTATTAATTTTCTTATTTTTAAAATTTCTTGGCGGTTCTCAATTTTGAATGAAATGACTCACTTGAAATATATTTTACGATATTGCAGAATCTCATGATTTTTTATCAGATGATAGATATTAAAAAAAACATATTTATGATCTACATTATGAAACAAAATCACAGGAAAACACAAATCACATTAAGAAAAATGCTAGCCGATTAAATCTACTAATGCCACGTTTCAGATTTTTAAAAAGTATATTTTACAAATTCTCACGCCATTTCTGTCTGTACTATGCATTTTTTTTCTCTCTCTATCTCTCTTTCTCTTTCTCCTTTTTTAGTTCACGTGCATGAGAGGCAAACACGTAACTTATAATTTATATGTGTAGTTTCTTATGTAGTATTGTAAATTCTTGTATCTATTTTTAATCATACATTTCCCTTCAATGTTCAGTCACTTGTCACTGTAGATGTAGTTGTCTGTAACACATTTTTTTTCTCTAATATTCTTTTTTAGAAAATGCTGTCAATATTTGGCACCCATTTCCAGTGTAATATTGGATGTTTCGTAGATATATAACAATTCCCTCCGTTTGCAAATTCACCCGAGTTTTGCCAGGGTAAAGTTTTCCGAAATAAGGCTAATAAGTGAAGGTATTTGCGTGTTTGGGATTTAAGTTCCTTGTGGGGACCATATGTATATATTCTTTTTTTTAAGATTTGATGAAGATAGATGCATGTGACAAAGTAAAAACATTTGTCGCTTTGTTGGGAGTAAAACGTTCCCTTTTATTTGTAAACATTTCCCCACATTGCTGCTCTACTGCCCACTATAAAAAGTGAACCCCAGTTTCGACTCTTGCGTCCGAAACAAATAAACCACACGTTATTGTTCTGGATTTCGGATGCGAGTTGAAACATTGTTCGTACTTTTTCAACGTTTGGTGGTAAATTACAAATGACAGACATATATGGAGTTTAATTAAATGTATCACGTGTCTAGTATGTGAACTGAACCACGAGTTTCGATTCTTTGTGTCCGAAACAAGTGAACCCGGCACGTTATCGTTAATGGTTTCGGATGCGAGTCGAACCACAATTCGCACACTGGCAAAACTTGGTGGTGAATCTGGAAGTAGAGATGGGACTGGATATTTTTATTTTCTTATTCTATTTCTGGATTGTTAGGTGAACTATTTGCTACTGTTGACATACATAACATTTTATTTCGCTTGTGATAAGTGTATCACTTGGAGTATTTATATTGTAATATATCCTTTCTATTTCCATGTATATTATAATACGCTCTTTCTATCTCTATTATTGTTTATTAGTTAGTGTTTAATGAACTAATGTAAAAGATTATTTTCACTTCCTTGAATTTACATTCTGTATATATCATATTTGAGGCAGATACCTAAGATATACCTTTATATAGGCAATAATTATTGTATCTTTACAACGTTTTTTACATGTACAATTTACTTATATTAGTTATCCAATTTATAGTCTCTAGATTTATGCGTATATATATATATATATATATATATATATATATATATATATATATATATATATATATATATATATATATGTATTTAAACACATTCAAGCTTGTCAA